TACCACCAGATAGCCTTTTCTGGATCATATTCATCTTCAAACTCTTTCAAAACACGTTCTTCGTATACGTTTCGTGTACAGGCGTTTTTACACACATCAATGAGTTCACCTTTCACATCCGATTTATGATGCATACGACATAGAACTTCAACAAACAGTTGAAGCCACATAAACATGGCGTTATGAGATTGACGATCACGTGAAATATTAGATGCATCATCACGACTGAATATACCTATGACGATAGTATCATTGGTCTTATGTCTTATGTTGTGATCTTCTAATAGATCGATCATCAATATACCCGGACCAGTATAAACACCTCTGACCTAAAACAGAATCCAATCCGAAAATGTTTTAATGACGTTTGCNTAATGACGTTTGCCTGACTTACTCTGGGGTAATTATCTGCCCATTTTTTGTGAGCCTTATCTCCGCAATAAACGTAGACATCATTGAGTTGCGTCAAGTCTTGTAAACGAGGAACAATATCACTACCATATGCTCCCAATACGATAAGAATAACTTTTTCATCTTTTGCTTGTCGAATATGTTTTTCACACTCGTCTATTCGATCAAATGTGAGAAAATGCCTATTGATAGAACGAAATTGTACCGCTGTTTCAATATTGTCAGCTTGTAAACCGTGGCTTTTAGGTAATGTACCTCATAAGTCTTCAAAAGGTTCGGTCGGCGTTCTTTTAAGTTCTGTATCGGATGGCCCAGATAAAACAGGACACTTTTGTTCTTTATTTTTGAGGCATTGTTTAGTAGTCCAAAGCGTTCGTTCTAAACTTCATCGATAGAGAATTGAATTCTTCATAAAACCTGCTATTTGAATCTCTGATCGCATTTTTCTCGTTTGAACACCATTCACAATACTGCAGGGTGCTGAGTTGTCGAACCGCGACTCACTGAAAATAGAAAAATATTTGCCTTGATACAAAAACAGATTCCATAGGAATTTTGAAGACATCAGAAGATTCAACAGAAAATTTTGCATCTTCTCACATATTTTTTGAAACTTTGCAGTTAAGTCTTCTAGGAAAATTTCTCTGTGCAAAAGGCTAATTAACCTAAAAAACCTAACTCTTGAATCTATATCTTGAACCTATATTTTCCACAGACTTTAGTCTTTTGGCTATAAAAGCAGTAAAACGTTCTGAATCCAGGGTTTTAGTCTTATTATCTTACACAGAATTAAAGACTGCGTCTTTTAATATATAAACATTATTATATACAGCAATGGAAGCAATTCATCTCAGAAGCGTAGAAACAACTAAAAAGGCAAGATAAACATACAAGTAACGAAACTTCGAAACGTTGTAATTCTGCTATTGAATTTTATCTTGATTGCTTTTTTCTGACGGGACAAGTATTTCCCTAGACAAAAAAAATTTGTGAAATCTTATAAGAATCTTATAAAAATCTTACTCAATTCTTATATAAGATCTTCCACGAAAGTGACAAGAATTTTGCTGAATCTTATAAGAATCTTATAAGAATTT